ATGGTGAACAGCTAGTTGCCTATTTATTTTCGACAGAAAAACAAATGGCCACCTTACTAGGCAGTCACTTTGCCCGAGGCGTGCGAGCGATATTAGGCATACTGTCCATAATACCCCGCCCCCAAACAACAACGCATCCCGCAATGAACTGGCGTGGTTTACCGTTTCCTGCCGTAATACGGCATGGCAGCAGTATCACGGGACGACCCAAACAAATCCCGGCTGTGTGTGCGTGTGTTTGGTGTGTGTGACCGATCTGTCTTGGTCTGGGGGTCAGCCTTTACACTTTACAATCTTTCGGGCGTATGGCGCCATTAAAATGCTATGTAGTGCTTCTCATCATCAGCCAAGAAATGGACGCAACCGGTTACTGTTGACTGATGAAGTACTTCTAATCACGTCTTGCAGCTAGTTCTTGCACCCTTGGTTAAGCTATGTAAGAAAATTGAAAAATACACAGCTTGAAGACGAAAATGCAATCTCCCTTGAAGTTTACTCGTCACAACGACAGAAAAATCATACATGGGGGTGTTTGATTTAATTAATTGTTTTTGGGTTTAGGGGAGTACACAGGTATATGTATATGTGTTGTTTTTTATTTAATTATTTATTTATTATTTTTTGGGTTTTTGGTAGACAAGAAGTCAAAATTGAGATGGATTCGTTGGGTCACATTTAGAAAAAAAAAATGTATTGTCTGGTCACGACAATAAAAAAAGGGTGACTGCGCCGATGAACAAAAGGCGACAGAGGGTTGGTTGCGAAATTCCCAATTCCCATATTCCAATTGAATCACGCAGCCAACCATCGCTTTCGTTTTGACTTCCTGAATATTATACGAAGTGTATGCATACCGGTAGTTTGGTGGCCATCTTGTGTGCTGCATCGGACTTATGCATAGGTATTGCTGAGAATGTGTATGCAATGAAGAGGACGATAGATTTTCTTGGGTGTGTTACTTGTTGCACCCTCGTGAAGACCCCTTGTACAACGCATGTGTGTCCAGTTTGTCATTTGTTGTTGACATACAACGTTAGGACGAAGATCATATTACTGCTGTCTGCCAACATGTAAGTTGTCAGTCGTGTGTACGCATTGTATGTGTAGGGTACACAAATGTAGACGTGTGTCACCTATGCACATGTTCGACTGTGGTCTTATCTCGAATGGGTGTCCTTTCTGTGCTTGTATTTATGTTTCCTAACATGCATACCCAGAGCAGGCTGCGGCGGGCACTTCTGTATGGATACGTAACGAACGGGTAGACTATCTAGTCTTTCTGTGGTTGTATTTTCTTTGTACTCCAATACAAGAGGCACAGACTGACTACATACGAAAGCACGTGCACCGGCCCGAGTACACAAAAGAGCCACTTGTTCACCCTATTCTTCAACCTTTGTTGGCTCTTTTCAGAAGCAGTCAAACGGAGAGCGAGATGAAGACAGAGACAGAAGAAGGTGGTCAAGGCACCAGCACCAACAGGGTGAAAGGCTCAACGTCCTCGTACTTTGCCGAAGCGCATCTTCGGTATCGGCCGTTCTAACGACTAACGCTGTTCTAGGTTCGGTGGTTAGGTTGCTCGAGAAATTTCGAATGTGCCTGACCGTGCGAGGTTGTGACACAAGGTGCAAAAGGAGTCTGTGCTGCGCTTCGGAGAGAGAGAGAGGGGGCGAGTCGAGAAGTGTTGTCGTCTCTGCTGTTTCTCTGTCGCTCTCTCTGTCGCAACCATGGGGCAACAACCTGCGGTTTCAGCTCAGTTTTGGCGGAAGGACTGCAAGACACCACGCGCCGAAAGCCCGACATGAAAGGCTTCTTCAGCAGCAGCAGCAGCAGCAGTGGGAGCCCCTTATTGTTGTGTTACCCCATCGAGCACGACCTCTGCTGGTTGCCCTCCCCACGGACGCCTTGTCACACGAGAGAGAGGGGGGGGGGGGGAGCTGCGAGAATCAACCCCCACGGCAAACTACCTGCGATTGAACATCCATAATCAACGGTGGCGCCTTCTGACCTCCTGATGGTTGCTGCTGATGCTGCTGCTGTGCGCGCTATTTTATTAGAACTTGTCGCATCGATCAGGCTCGGCTCGGACAAAGGTACCGCACCACCACTCTCACCTCTCACTAGAGGTAGAGGCTCTCTTCCTTTGGTCTATCTTTCGAGCCAGTACCGCGCGCTGTGCCCAGGCGCCCAGGCTGGCTTCTGTGCCGTGCGTCGTTTTTGCGGCGGGCCGCCCGCGTCTAGCAGCGGGGGGTTAATCAGCCGCATGCCGCAAACGAGACTTGTAGGTACTCTTTTTTTTTTTTTCGAGAGTCCACTTTCGAATTTCGAACGGGGAATCCGAACTGCTGCTGTCCGTTCGCACGAAAAGATCCAACGCAGCCTTCGAGTCCTGGGCCGACGCACATTTAGATAAATAGCACGTTTGTCCAAGGTTTGTCAGGGTGGTTTTTCGCAGACATTAGGAAACATAAATACAAACACAGAAAGACTACCCTACAATAGCCCGCGACTTTTGCACGTAGCGGTTTGTGGCAGAGCCAATTTCTACGCCGTTTTGTGGATGAAGCCAAGCTTGATGAAGCTAAATACCGCTATTGTTGAAGTCGAGGACCGTCATGCATCAATATCCTAATAATAAAACCGCTGTGAACTGTTTGAATCTTATTGGTGGGCCGGCCCTCGCCACCGCGATAGATACCAAAACATTTTCGAGCCAACGAATATACTCCATATGACGATCCTTCACTTGAGTCACAGGCCGAAAACGTTTCTTTTGCGCCGAAGGGGCAAAACTCTCCCTTCCTTACAGCATATGATGATGTGAATGAGAGACTAAGAGCGTTCGGCAGAACGAACAAGAGGTGCCAAACCACGAGCGACCGTTGTTCCTCAGCTGGAATATATGCTAGTTGTTGCTGTTGAATACGTTTGACCCCTGTTCAAGTAGCATCCTTCTTTCCCCACTTCAGAAAGTAGACATGTCACAGAAAGACTACGTAGTCTACCCGTTCGAGATAAAACCACAGCAGCAGTCGAAAGCTCTCTTCGCGGAAAGGATAAGAATTGCATTTTCGTGCTGACTTGCTGAACAGCTGGTCAGACACCATGACCAGTTGTGGTAACCAACAATAAACTGGAAGTAGGAACCCCTTTCCTCACGACGTGTACATAGCTGCGAAATGAAGCCACGCTCGTTCCCGCAAGAACGAAACGCACTCAAGAAAACAAATAAACCGGGTAGGGTAAAGGGCAGGACAGGAAAAGAAAAAGAAAGCACTACATAACTACTGCTTCGTACTATACACCAGGAGGACACGCGTACCCGCCGCACGTAAAGTGTTTCGCATGAGACGAGACACTGATGGAATGAAATGAATCGTTGGATTCGTATCACAGCACGAGGGGTCACGCAGCAGCGACAACCATGTTTTTTTCGTGGCCAAGAATCTATTGCGTGGGACACGTGCTGCCCGACGTACAAATGAATGTCGGTCACCCCGTCGTAGCACACACCAACCACCTGAGCCTCCACACTTTTTACCCACGGCAAATCAGCCAGAGAGAGCGGTGTGGTCTGCGGGCCAGAAATGAAACAAGACGAGTAAAATGTAGAACAACGGGCGGTGTCTTTTTCACAACTTGCTGAGAGACGCACGTTGCGAACAGAAGCAGAGTCGTCCCCCTCTGGCGCAAGGACATGAAAGCTCGGCCTCACAGAGTCAGCCCTTGCTCATTCGCTACTTGCCGCAACAGCTTGGTGTGGAGGGGACAGGGGTCTTCGGTCCCTTCCTTCCTGGCCTTCTCGGAAATATCCCAGAAAAAGCCGTTTCGCCATGAGAACTCCTTCACGGCAGCGGGGTAGTTTGCGACCGACCTGGTCCAACACAAGAACACCATACGCAAAGCAACAGTAGTGTGAGTCGACGGAGGACTACCACAGGCGTCTTTTCAATGGTCAGCCGGTTGGCGCGGTCGATGCTAATTAAGAAAACATGAAAACATGAACACACTCACACACTCACGGGGTCCCAGATCGCGACCTTTAGAAGCATTTTGTGTTTTCAACTGCACTGACACTGACGTATTTCATTGGTCAGCTGGTTAGCACGGTCGATGCTAGACTAATAATGAAAACACAGTAACATATGTTGTCATTGGTCAACCGGTTAGCACGGTCGATGTTATTGATAAACACACACGCAGTTCATGGCATTTAGAAGTGTTTTGCGTTTTCAACCGCACTGAGACTGACGTTCATTGGTCAGCCGGTTAGCGCGGTCGATGCGAATAATAAAACAAACACACCTGTTCAACCGCACTGAGACTGACGTCTTTTCCTTGGCCAGCCGGTTGGGGCGGTCGATGCAAAGTAAGAAACGCATACACACACATGCGTCCCAGACACACCGCAAGATCCACCAGGCGTACCTACATGCATGGAACCGTTGCACGACTGCCAAACCGATGCGGTTCACCACGGTACATGTAACACAAACGCACACACAAACACAACAGCGTGCAACTCCAGCTCGCAGAACCGAAAACTCAAGGAGAGCCGAAACTTTCTATAAAACATACATGTGATCACAGAAAAAAACTGCCCGTTCGAGATATGTACAATAGTATCACAACCTTTACGAGCACCCCGACAGACGACCTCATGCGAATCGAACCCATGCCATATTTTCAGGTATTTGATTCCGACCTTTCCGAAGGAGGAGCGTGTCGTGCAAATCTATTATAGCTCACCTAGAGTACGCGCAGAGACGATCCTTCACCCCGTCCTCGAACGCCACTCCGTACTCCACCTCTATCGCCTTCTGCAGCTCTCCGATCAACGTGCGTACCTACCACCCGGGGGGGGGGGCAGTAGTTAGCAGAAGATCAGAGCAGTTCACAGCAACGATCTCGACCGCTAATCCATTTGCGCTGCGCTCTCCGTTCCGCCTCCATTGCACGGGAATCGGAAAACGGAACACATGGACTATCCCGAGAACATATGACAGAAACACACAAAAAAAAAACTCGATCGGCAAACCCGTAAGAAAGGCGGGAAAATTGGCGCACTTCCTAATATACGCTGTGTTCTTCAAACGAAGAACGAGGAACGGGCGGTGTACAAATGCTGTCAGATTGGCTACGGGCACTGCCACCAGTTGGGCACCGGCGTAGCTTTCCTCACGTCATTCCTACCCGTACCCGCCATCTCTGGCGGTGTTGCGAAACCGACGCAGCCTCGGTGGCCGTGTGTTCGGCGGTGTAGCTACAGGCGTCAGTGAATCGACGCGCCAGAGCCAAGCTTGGACCGACGAGGCTCTCACGCTTTTCACGCCATCTCATGTCAAAGAGGCGTGCTTGGTGCAATACCACTACAGGTGGTGTTGCGGGGAGGCGAGCTGTGTGCCATAGCCGGACAGGCAACAGCCCCTACACCGCCACCTCGTCTCGTCGGCATGAGCCAACGAAAACCCCGAGCATGTGCGAGAGTCATGGCACCCCCGTAGCGGCCGTTTTTGAAACATCTTCGCCACTGCAGTCTCATCGCACAGGGGTGCGATGAGACTGCGGACTGTGTGATGGCTCCCGACAGTGCGATGACTTGCAATACTTCGGTAGATACATACCTCGTCGGCATGGTCGGCGTCCACTTGGCCCATGTTGCACTTGTGGGCCGCTCCCGCCACCATGAAGGCGCAGATCCAGATGTGCTTCTCGTACATCCTGGCCGTGTACCTGTTGGATGCGGCGGCAGGCGGAGAGTGAGTGCGCGCGTCGTACAAAAATCACGGCAAGAGTATTGCTACGCGACAACGCCATCTCGGTGACAACTCTACCTCATCGATCGACATGGTGTTTTAAAAGTAGAATAGATACAAGGTGTTTTGTGGAGGCGCCGTCTTGTTCATCGAATTGTGTTTCGGTGGCTTTCGCCGCGGCGTTTCGCTGATCGATCCCCAACATACACGACACACGCGCCGTTCGTCTAAACTATCTGCGTTGCATCCGCACCCTGACATGTTCGCACAGCAGCACAACCGGACATATCCCCCACTTCCAAATTCCTTTTTTCGATACATTATCCAAAAAAGGGGGCGGCAAACAAGAAGCGATTTCCGCCCCTGCTGGTCCCAATTTCATTCACCCCCACCTGTCTTCGGCTAGCTCGTGGCACGTGAGCCCTCCCTTGGCGAGCCTCTCCTTCAACTCCCCCGCCCACTTTCCGCACGTGGACGTCAGCCCTTCCGGGTTGGCATCGGTGATGCCATCGATGGGGGGCTCTCCTTTCTTCGACACCGCGAAGTATATCAGCGCCTGGTGGCGGACGTGGGTTGTTTGGCGTAAGGCGATACAAAGGCAGCGAGCGAGTACGCAGGCAGCACGCCGGTAGTACACGCGGTGTTTTATATGTGTACTCGGCGGAATTACGGATCAACGACATCTCCGGCCCCCCGGTGGATGCTACGTGATAGACTACTGCTGCACCCAGAAACAAGGCGTCGTAGAACAATGATCATGGGAACACTGAACGGACCGGTGTACCTAAACCATGACTCTGCAGCGGACTTCAGATGTGCTTATGTGCTGCTTTCGAGAGAGCGAATGCATGTTCCACGGCAGCAATCGCCAAAAAGAAAACTCAGAGGCATATCGGGAGCGCGGGAGTCGGATGATGGTGTGGTGTCATTCATTTACTGTATGGGTGCCTTATTTCCGTGCTGTCGCAGTTCTCCATACCAAACCTATGCCGTTTTTTACTTACATGCAACGCCCGTCCCTTGCCGAGCGAGCAAATTTTGTTCAATTTTCCAATGCAAGGCACCCATACAGTAAGCAACAGGACGGGATCGACCACCAGACGTCTAAACAAATATCAAAACACCACACCAGAGACATGATCATGATAGCAAAGAGCACAGGTGCCAAGAGTCGGCCAGCCCACCTGAGTGTTCTTGGCGAGCCCGTGCTTCTCGAGCAGAGGCCCCAAAACGCCGTTCTGCAGGAAAACCAAGTCCTCTCTTCGAGCCGGAGGCGTGCGCGAGATTACGTCCTCCAGATCATCGTTCCGTGTGCAAACCTTTTCAGTATACGGTGGACGAGTTTAAGAGAGTTGAGGGAAAACGAGCAATCACTGACGCAAAAAAAAAAAAGTTGTCCATGTTTCCTTCTTCGGAGTACACTGACTACCTTCGCTTCCTGCTTCGAACTGCCCTGTGTATGGCCTTGGGCTACACCTGAAGATCCCCGATTCGGAGTCATACAGAACCAGTCCTCTACTCTATAAGAAATACGAAGTACATCATAACACGCAAATATATAAGCAAAATTAGATCTAAGCGGGCATCGAGAGATCGAGTCGACCGGGGGGGGGGGTCTGGCTTGAGATTTGCAGATCGCTCGACGGTTTCGGCCGTGCTTCACAAAGCAATACCTACGTGTACAACGCTTGTGGTCGGCCAGTGACGCTTGCCTGGCGGATCCATCAACACGCGCAACAAGCACACCGAGCACGCGTTGCATCAAGACCCAACTGAATCAGTTCAAAGCGAAAAACAGCTTCCGGAAACAGCATTCCATGCATCAGGACACCCAGGTACACATTGTCGACAAAAATCGCACAACGGCTGGCCCGCGGAAGTTGTTTGTTTTATGTACTCACGTAAATCGGTCCGTCACCATCGGGGATGATGTCACCACGTCCGACCAGGGTGTCCCCGCCGCCGCCCATATCCTGCCTTCCCCAACAACGGAACAAATTGTGGACGTAGGATTAGGGTATTTCAACCTCAAAGTTACCGCGCTATGGTTACTAACGAATTAACGCAACGATGACCTTCCTGCAGCATGAGTTTACGTTTTTCTAAATTTCCCCTTGGCCTTGTAGTGTTTCATCTGGCGTTTCCTGCATTTTTTTGCTGACCTTCACTGTGTCTCTTGGTTGTATTGTGGTACGTCGCATGTATCTTAGGATCGTTTGCCGTGATCAGGAACATTCGTGCCGGTAGTCGGGATGGCACGGAGCACACACAGGTCGTCAACGGTTTTTACCGCGAAACAACCCGGAACACGAAAATAACCACAAATACACGTTGGTGTTGGGTGCGACGGCAGCATTTGTGGGAAGCGAAGCTTAATTGGTCGGACCACTATAAACACGTGCGGGTTAATAGGCCCGCAACTAGGTGCAGGGTGACAAACACAAAACCGAGCGGGTTTCAGCAGGATCGACGTTGCCGGGTACCGTACGATAACGCACCCACGAAACAAGGCATAACCCCTTTCACAGAGACCAATGACAGCAGTGTTCTCAAATCCCAACCGAGGGACCGAGATATTCGGGGACCGAGCTATTTGATACTTGTTGTATCGCTGTTGGACAGCGTCCCACATGACGTAGGATTGATTGTCGTTTCACAGGCGTAAGTATGTAAGTATATCTCGACCACGGCTATAGTGTGTTTCTTGAAGTCCGTGTTCCACGCGGAAGGCATGCAAACCACGACGATACACCGTGGGGTGGGCCTGGAAGCAATCCAAAGGGCACTTGCTTCGCTCAGAGAGTTGATTTCAGTACTTCGTTAAAGAGTTGATTTGAGTCCAGTTTTGGATAAGCACCCGTTTGTCATCATGGATCTGTTATGTTTAGACTAAGTAGATCTGGCACGGGCACGGCGCAACCCAGGTCCAAAACTACGCAACATGCTACGAGGAAGGGATCAAGGCTTCTTCAACGCCTCATCATTTGGTGGAACCTCACCGAACCCATGTACCCCGGGCGGTGCCTCCTGAACTGCTGGCCTTTACGGGAGATGTACGCAAGACGCGTGATGAGGACGTGAGGACGAACCATCGTGACACATGAGCAACCTAGGCGACTTGAACACACCGACTGCGCCCAATCTATCAGGACTTGCGATGAAAAACGAAACCCACTTTTGCGATAATACCCTTGTCTTCATAGGAACTCACGTACAACGCACACCCGATGCGACCTCCCCCAACGATTGCCGCCATTGTCGTCGCCGTGGGGCGCTGGGACCGCTGCCGGTGCGGGCGTGATGATGATGCCACGATCGCCTTGGTGCTGCTGCTGCCGGGAGAGGAACTCACCACAAATGCTTCGCCCTGGACCAGCACCGAGATAGTCACATGTGCTGCAAGAAGAATCCCCAGCATCTCTTGCAGTGATGTCCCTCCACAAGGGACCGAGTAGAGAGAGGAGAGACACAAGCTTTACACCCAGGCAGCAGGCAGCAGGGAGCACCCCAGACCCGATCATGCGGCGCAGTCCCCGGGGACTCCGCACGAGGATATCCCCACCTCATTGTTGGAACATACCAACGCGCGCCCCCCCAGCATTCAAGCGCAACTCACCTGCTCACAGCAACAGCACAGCCACGTGTGCAGTGCACCAGGGGGGCTGTCTGACGGGCTTCCAGCAAGGATGGCGCGAGCTTTGTTTTTGCTCCTGTGTTGCTATGTCTTCCGTGGTTCACAGGTGAGCGTGTAATTGACGTTTGGACGGGAAGGGAGGCAATACCGGCTGCCGTCATGTGTGAGGTTGTCGCCGTTTCTCCTCGGGTAGCGACCGCCGTGTATGTAGACTATCATGTCACACGTTGCCGAGCTTTTCAAACTTTAACGCTGCAGCAGGCCGTTGCAACTCGTAAAGTGTGTAAGTTTGCTGTGAGCTTCCGTCCAACTCGCGATGCTTGAGAAGCTGTGAATTGTGCACTGCTGTATCTTCTCCGTTCAGCAAAATCTGCGGTCAGCAGTTGCGGGTTGAACTCCGTGAGGCAATCGGTGCGATGTGCGGTCAACGTTTGGACTCAGCTAAATCACAAACCCTTGGAACCACGTGGACAGCGCATGCCACCGTGGGTGGGGGTGTTGAATCGTTTGTTTTGAACGCACGTCGTTGCACCAAATCGCAACAAAAGGTGTGTTCTCTACTTCGCGCCCCCTTATATTAAGGAAATATATATATACGCACAGAACGACTACCGGTGAACAGCCCGCGCGCTCACTGGTCGCTTGTTTGATGTATGTACCTACAACAGTTGACCCACAACCTCACCGAAAGACTACCCGTTCGAGATATCGCCACAGTCGAAAGGGATGCGCTGAAGTCTTTTCAGTGAGTGGAGAGAAACCACTTTGTTCTACTTCGAGTTTTAGCTGCAGTTTTCAGTTCCATGAACCTACGTTTCCAGTATGGATACTCATGCGTACCTTGAGACAACCTTGAGCCTGTACAAAAGTACGTCCGTTCCTAGAGGCACAGAAGTAGTTTGTCCTGGCTGGAAACTCGTGTGTTGATATGCATAAAAGAAGTGTCTATCCAAACCCCGACGCAACAAACTGCGGGGACTTGAACATGCAGCAGTAGTTAGTCACCACGATTGGCGGTCGTGACATCCTCCCAACGGTCTAACGTCCGTATCGCACTGTTGTCTACGTCCACAGGCGAGGGGAGAACAAGAAAAGTCCGCCCGACACACGGGCACACATCTCTGCCCTCTCTCCCCCCTAACCCGGTTGAGTTCAGAGTTACGACTATTTTAGCCCTTTTTGGTTGGAACACCACGCCGTCCCCATGACCGGCACGCAGGGGTGGCCATGGTCTCCCAGCCCCACACCAGCACTTTCTTGTGGCCTATGTTTGTGGTACTTGGATATGAGTCCGATCTGTGCATCCTCTGTGGGGGATACGCGTATGGGAAGTATGGGTGTGATGGGTGTGTATGCGGTTGAGGTCCAAGTGCGGGGCCTCCGGGTGAGAACACGGCGGTGTGCTCCCGGCACTTGCCTGAGGGGCTCGCGTGGCGGATACCAGCTTGCCTGAGGGGCTTGCGTGTTGGTGACCAGCTTGCCTGAGGGGCTTGCGTGACGGATATATATAATACATGGTCCTTTTTCATCTGCTGTTCCTGGAATAACATAGTACCCA